TTTTTTTTTTTTTTTTACAAAAAAAGCACTGCCTATAGATCTTTGGAACTAGTAGGTCTTGAGAGACCATGCCATAAAGAAGCAAAATTCTTAGTGAAATAATGAATCTTACATAAAAACAATGAAAAAAATATCTCTCCTAGAGAATGATTTGGCTCAATAAATCAATGTTCACAATGTTGCTTATTCTGTTTTAAGCTTATTTTTGGTTGGCTCTGGGAAATCCCTCAAAATCTGTAAAACTCTTTCATTTTTAATTTAACCTTATTTTTCCCCTTATGGTAAAACACTGCAAGTAGAATGAGACTACTATTTTTATGGGTCTCAAAAACATTTCCATGCTTAGCCTGTTTACACTGCCATCATTACAGGAAGTCTTCCTGGAAATGATTGAAGTACCTGCTTAAGAAAATGTTTACAAATTCAGGACCAAGGATTACATTTTTATGTTAGCTCAAAGGCAAGAGTCTTAAGCAGAGATCAAGTCCATACAAACAAATGGTTATACAGCCATTCTCCAGCCAATGCTAACATTTTTCTAAGCAAATAGAGCAATCAGGATTTCTGTGCTAGGTTCAACCACATAGTTCATATCCCTGAGGCTTGCTGTAACAACTGCACAATCATGAATGTTTCCATTTGTATGTACTAGGAAATGTACATACCATTTGTGTGTACTCGGATATTCTTTCTCTATGCTTAAAGGATGTGAGAGATTTCAAGCATTATGATGGTCCATGGACCTCTATCTTCTGTCCATTGACAATTTGGGTGTATTTCTGTAATGGTCACAACTGTGAATAAGGGACTAAGGGGGTATATGCAAAACTTTATGGATGCATAATTACTTTGGAAATTTGATCAGCTATGATGGAAAATGCACTTGTTTTGAAAAGGTGTTTTTTTCCAATTCAGTGTGTATTCATGTATCACTAGGAGGATGATTGCAGTATAAATTGCTAGGAAGGCAGAAAATGAGGAAAGCTGTGTTTCACAGATTCTGTTACATAGATGGAATTTTGAAAAAGATAATATGAAACTCATTTAAAAAGGACCACAAAGTTTGAAGAAAAAATTGTAACAGAATTTTAAAAATGGTCTATAAGTGTCTGGTGATTAATTAGGTATCATATAAATCATATAAATTATGTATCAGAATAAATCATACTGATCTCATTTAATATCTGTGGTTTACAAAATAAGCATCAAAGAAATAGAATAATAGAATGTTGTAAGAAAACAGAAAAATTATAAGAATAATAAATGTACATTGCTTTATTACATATAGCCCAGTACAATGCATTTTATTTAGCAATAAACTGCCATTGCACTGAATAGACTTCAAGCCCAGGAATGCATAGAATTATGACATGTTGTAGTAATTGATCCAGCATCTCAGGAAATGTCATTGAAGTTGTCTAAAATTATATTTTTAAAGGGTTATTTGCATTTTGCACATCATCCATCATTTTTACAGTCTGGAAGCATGCCATGTTTTTATTGTACTATTAATAGAACATTATCCAAGTTTCATTTCCCAGCAACCAGAGGTTTTGCTGTTGTTAACATGTTTTCAGTTAACAGATAATTGACACCATCTTCGACGTTAATGGGTCTGTATAACCTCCATCCGGTGTGGCTTGGTACATGTTTACAATATATGTAACATCAGCCTTATCTTTGCCATTTAGCACACCTGTAATAGTTTGTGAGACTTTTTTCATTGTAATTTGCTTCGACTTAACTGGTTTTAGTTATCACTGATCCTTAAAAATGATATAAAGAAAAACTGCTTGTATAGCAACGGAAAATGTTTTCACCATTAAACTATCTTCTCATCATCATTTTCCTCAAAGAGTTGCCTAGTTTAATTTCAAAACAGACCTCACGACCAATTTCTGTCACAGGTTTCTATACCATATTGCTGCTATGACTTTCAGTTACCGTATAACTAAATGATAAAAGAAATATAGAGATACAATTTTAAATAACGTTAATGCTTCAAAAAGGACCATTTCTTCCCAAGATCCAAACAAAAAGCACAGCAATTATTGAAAAGAAAAGAAAAGAAAATCTTTGCTGCATACTTGTTCTGTCTTTAACTACAGCTTATGCCTCTGCAAAAACCAAGTCAATGGCCCACTGAGTCCTGATGATTTACAGCTCTAACTCCTTGATCATGCTGACTAGAAATTGTAATTTAGCAACATCTGGAGCCCCAGATGCTCACTAAAAGGTTAAAAATGTATTAGCTAAGCAGCCAAATCTTTTAGTTCTGCATTTTGACAATATAGCTGAGATGCCTCAGACCTTCTCATTCTTGTCCCACCCAGGTATGACATTCTCCAGAGAGCCCTGGAGAATAGCTGACTCAGCTATACTCAGACCATAAAGAGGATATAACTATTTCTGAAGGCAATCTTGGTCTCAATGGTGATCAATATGTGTACATGACAGAGACAGTGAAGCTTCTGCATGCTCTCTGGCCAGACCCTGCCATTCCTGCTTCTCTGGCAGATGATGCTGCCAGCGCTAACTCTCTGCTCCTCCTCTCCTCAGGCTTTTGAGCTGAACCAGTCCATCCAGCAGGGAGGACGGGGAAGTAGAGCAGTTGACTCCTCCCTCCACCCGTCTCCAGTGGAACGCAAGGTGGGAATTGCGCTCTGCCTGTCCTTCCCCAAGGACAAAATGGCTCCTTCCCTAGCATGCCTGAGCCTGGGCTCTCTAACCTTCATTTTCAACTGGCATGCACCTAACAGGCAACTAACGGGAGGGGGGAGGGCCCAGTGTGGCCAGGATCGACACATGCCCTTCCAGCAATGAGCGCGCTTCCTGTACAGCCTCTCCTTGCGTCTCCTCTCTCAAATTAATTCCTCCTTCCCCAGGTTCACATCAGACTTGAGTCAAGAAATAAGTCTCTCAAGATTTTTGACATTAGCGTACAGGACAAGATCCTGTATCCATCCACTTGAAATGTAGACACATGAGATTGTTATTTCAAGCAAATGTTGAACTGGAGAGAGGCCGCCTCATAAGCTGCAAGTAGTTTGGAAGGATCAAAGTCATAATGAAAATGGGAGGCGGGGGTGGGAGTGGGGATGTGGATTGGA